GAACCGAAAAGTCTAGCCTTTCGCCCCAAGACACTCCCAGGAGGCCCCCAGCGCCCCCCAAGAAGCCCCAAGAGGCCCCCAGGAGGCGTCCCAAGAGGCCACCGGGAGGCGAAAATCATTGATTTCCTATGGGAAAACATACATTTTTAGCATACAAGGCTTTTCGGCTTTCACTGCGTTGAAGACGCTCCAAGATGCCCCCCAGACCGCCCCAAGACGGCCCAAGAGGCTCCCAAGAGGCCCCCAAAACTGCCCAAGAGGGCCCCAAGACGGCCCAAGAGGCGCCCAAGACGGCCCAAGAGGGCCCCAAGACGGCCCCAAGAGGGGGACCACGAACCGAAAAGTCTAGCCTTTCGCCCCAAGACACTCCCAGGAGGCCCCCAGAGCCCCCTAAGAAGCCCCAAGAGGCCTGCAAGAGGTTCCCAAGAGGCCTCCAAAAGGGCCCGACAAGGGGTCCAATAGGACTCCCAATAAGGCCCAGAGACGCCAAATAGAGAGCGATCGGTAACGCAAAAAGCTCTTCACACCAAGGCTCCCAAGAGCGAACGGTGACGTAAACAAGCTGATAAGACCAAGGCTCCCAGCAGAGAGCGGTGACGTAACAAGTTCCTGACACCAAGGCCCAGCCAAGGCTCAGGAACGGGCGGCAACGCAACAATCTCTGAACACCAAGGCTCCCAAGAGCGAGGGGTGACGTAACAAGCTCTCAACGCCAAGGCTCCCAGTACGAACGGTGGTGTGAGTAATTTTGGTTTCTGTTTCTGAAGCGCTCTTTCCGTTTCTGTGCCGGGCCAGGTAACGGGAAGAGCGAGGTACGAGTGATGACGTTCTGGTGTGGGCGAAGCCCTAAACGGAGGGGTTCCAGGGGAGGGGGGTAGCGTGCGCATTTGCATGTTAATGGCCGTTTTCGGGTTTTCCTTAGGTTTTTGCATGTTTTTCGGGTTCCCCCCCAAGACGGCCCAAGAGCGCTCCAAGAGAGCCCAAGACCGCCCAAGACTGCCCAAGAGGCCCCCAGAAGGCCCCCAAGAGGCGCCCAAGGGGCGTCCCAAGAGGGCCCCAAGAGGCCGAAATCATTGATTTTCCAAGAGGAAGCGTATATTTTTAGCATATGCGCTTTGTCGGCTTTCACGGCGTTGACGACGGCCCAAGGGGCCCCCAAGACCGCCCCAAGACAGCCCAAGAGGCTCCGAAGAGGCTCCCAAAACGGCCCAAGAGGGCCCCAAGACGGCCCAAGAGGCGCTCAAGACGGCCCAAGATGGCGCCAAGACGGCCCCAAGAGGGGGACCACGAACCGAAAAGTCTAGCCTTTCGCCCCAAGACGCTCCCAGGAGGCCCCCAGAGCCTCCCAAGAAGCCCCAAGAGGCGTCCCAAGAGGCGTCCCAAGAGGCCACCGGGAGGCGACAATCATACATTTTCTAAAGGAAAACGTGCATTTTTAGCATACAGTGCTTTTCGGCTTCCACGGCGTTGAAGACGCTCCGAGAGGCCCCCAAGACCGCCCCAAGAGGGCGCCAAGACGGCCCAAGAGGCGCCCAAGACGGCCCAAGAGGGCCCCAAGACGGCCCCAAGAGGGGACCACGAACCGAAAAGTCTAGCCTTTCGCCCCAAGAAGCTTCCAGGAGGCCCCCAGAGCCCCCCAAGAAGCCCCAAGAGGCCCCCAAGAGGTTCCCAAGAGGCCTCCAAAAGGGCCCGACAAGGGGTCCAATAGGACTCCCAATAAGGCCCAGAGACGCCAAATAGAGAGCGATCGGTAACGCAAAAAGCTCTTCACACCAAGGCTCCCAAGAGCGAACGGTGACGTAAACAAGCTGATAAGACCAATGCTCCCAGCAGAGAGCGGTGACGTAACAAGTTCCTGACACCAAGGCCCAGCCACGGCTCAGGAACGGGCGGCAACGCAACAATCTCTGAACACCAAGGCTCCCAAGAGCGAGGGGTGACGTAACAAGCTCTCAACGCCAAGGCTCCCAGTACGAACGGTGGTGTGAGTAATTTCGTTTCTGTTTCTGAAGCGCTCTTTCCGTTTCTGTGCCGGCCCAGGAAACGGAAGAGCGAGGTACGAGTGATGACGTTCTGGTGTGAGCGAAGCCCTAAAGGGAGGGGTTCCAGGGGAGGGGGGTAGCGTGCGCATTTGCGTGTTAATGGCCGTTTTCGGGTTTTCCTTAGGGTTTTTGCATGTTTTTCGGGTTCCCCCCCAAGACGGCCCAAGAGCGCTCCAAGAGAGCCCAAGACCGCCCAAGACGGCCCAAGAGGCCCCCAAGAGGCCCCCAAGAGGCGCCCAAGGGGCGTCCCAAGAGGGCCCCGAGAGGCCGAAATCATAGATTTCCAAGAGGAAAGCGTATATTTTTAGCATATGCGCTTTGTCGGTTTTCACGGCGTTGACGACGGCCCAAGAGGCCCCCAAGACCGCCCCAAGACGGCCCAAGAGGCTCCGAAGAGGCCCTCAAAACGGCCCAAGAGGCCCCAAGACGGCCCAAGAGGCGCTCAAGACGGCCCAAGAGGGCGCCAAGCGGGTTAAAACGGCCATGCGGGTTAAAACGGCCACGCGGGTTCGAACAGCCATGCGCGTTAAACCGGCCATGCGGGTTACAACGGCCACGCGGGTTAAAACGGCCATGCGGGTTAAAACGGCCGTACGGGTTAAATAAAATGACCACGCGGGTTAAAACGGCCATGCGGGTTAAAACGGCCATGCGGGTTAAAACGGCCATGCGGGCCAACGGCCAGGCGTCGGAAAATGCCACCCCCGCCATTTTGCCTGCGGGGTGAAATCTCGATGCATGGGGGGGGGGACTGCTTGTAGCGCGCTACAGAAGCACGCGGCCTCTTTCCTTCTTCTAATGCTACAGACTACCCCTTGCCGTTTTGCCCGCGGGCGGATATGTCGCGTTAAAATGGCCATGCGCGTTGAAACGGCCATACGGGTTAAAACGGCCACGCGGGTTAGAACAGCCATGCGGGTTAAAACGACCATGCGGGTTAAAACGGCCAGGCGGCGTAAAACGGCCAAAGTTATAACGGCCATGCGGGTTAAAACGGCCATGCGGGTTAAAACGGCCATGCGGGTTAAAACGGCCATGCGGGCCAACGGCCAGGTGTCGGAAAATGCCACCCCCCGCCATTTTGCCTGCGGGGTGAAATCTCGATGCAGGGGGGGGGGACTGCTTGTTGTAGCGCGCTACAGAAGCACGCGGCATCTTTTCTTCTTCTAATGCTACAGACGACCCCTTGCCGTTTTGCCCGCGGGCGGATCTGTCGCGTTAAAACGGCCATGCGCGTTGAAACGGCCGTACGGGTTAAAACGGCCACGCGGGTTAGAACAGCCATGCGGGTTAAAACGACCATGCGGGTTAAAGCGGCCAGGCGGCGTAAAACGGCCAAACGAGTTAAAACGGCCATGCGGGTTAAAACGGCCATGCGGGTTACAACGGCCATGCGGGTTGAAACGGCCATACGGGCCAACGGCCAGGCGTCGGAAAATGCCCCCCACCGTTTTGCCTGCGGGGTGAAATCTCGATGCAGGGGGGGGGGACTTCTTGTAGCGCGCTACAGAAGCACGCGGTCTCTTTTCCTCATCTAATGCTACAGACTGCCCCTTGCCGTTTTGCCCGCGGGCGGATGAGGCGGAGGAGGAGGAGGAGGAGGAGGAGGAGGAGGAGGAGGAGGAGGCGGAGGAGGCGGAGGAGGCGGAGGAGGCGGAGGAGGCGGAGGAGGCGGAGGAGGCGCAGGAGGCTGAGGAGGCGGAGGAGGCGGAGGAGGAGGCGGAGGAGGAGGAGGAGGCGGAGGAGGCGGAGGAGGCGGAGGAGGCGGAGGAGGAGGAGGAGGAGGAGGAGGAGGAGGAGGAGGAGGAGGCGGAGCGCGGGGTGACGTTACAAGTTCTCAACGCCAAGGCTCCCAGTACGAACGGTGGTGTGAGTAATCTCGGTTTCTGTTTCTGAAGCGCTCTTTCCGTTTCTGTGCCGGGCCAGGTAACGGGAAGAGCGAGGTACGAGTGATGACGTTCTGGTGACGTAAACAAGCTGATAAGACCAATGCTCCCAGCAGAGAGCGGTGACGTAACAAGTTCCTGACACCAAGGCCCAGCCACGGCTCAGGAACGGGCGGCAACGCAACAATCTCTGAACACCAAGGCTCCCAAGAGCGAGGGGTGACGTAACAAGCTCTCAACGCCAAGGCTCCCAGTACGAACGGTGGCGTGTGTAATTTCGGTCAAGTTCCTGCAGCGCTCTTTCCGTTTCCGTGCCGGCCCAGGTCTAATGGCCTTCGGGCCATCCCGCCACCGTGTTTGGTTGTGGGTCAGATTTCTCAGGGATACTTGTCCGGGTCTCTTCGGAGCGCTCTTCGGAGATTTGGGGCCTCTTGAGAGCCTCTTGGGAGCCTGTTGGGGGCCTCTTGGGGGCCTCTTGGAGCCTCTTGGGGGCCTCTTGAGCGTCTCTTGAGGCCTTCTGGGGGCCCCTCGGGACCGAGGGCTCGAAATGTCCGTTCGGGTTCCCCATCTGGGCCCCCTCTTGGGGCCGTCTTTGGGCCCTCTTGGGCCGTCTTGGTTACCTCTTGCCGTCTTGAGGCCCTCTGGGGCCGTCGTGGTGCCCCCCTCTTGGGGGCCTCTGGGCCCGTCTAGGGGCGATCTTGGGGGCCTCGTGGGCCGTCTTGGAGCGTCGGGAAGCCGACAAGGCGTGAACGCGAACATCTTTCAAAAACCAGGAAGGGTAATTCATGATTTTGGCCTCTTGGGGCCCTCTTGGTAGGCCTCTTGGAGGCCTCTTGGGGCTTCTTGGAGGCCTCTTGGCCAGTCTGCGGACCATCTTGAGCGTCTTGGAGCGATGGTTCGGCGACTCGGGGCCTTCCTGGATCGTCTTAGGGCGGGGCCCTCTTGGCCGGTCTTGGAGCCCCAGCTAATTTGAGAATTTCGAGTCTGGGCCATTTAAAGACTCCTCAGGATGCAGGTCTGAGGCTTAGAAGATTAGGGACAGGATCTGAGGGCACGCCCACTCCGTGCCCAGATGCACGGTGGCGGATTGGACCTGGTATTCCATTGTTGCTTATTATGTGTGCGAATATGCCCTGGCAATCTTGTTAGCGCTCCTTCCCGTGACGACGTTGAAATCAGATTCAGTAGTGCTAACTTATTTGTTTCTTGAACTTTGGTTGAGTGTGGAAATTTGGCAGCAAAACCATGAGGGGAATTATGACATTGAACATTTCCCTTGGCTGGCAGCCTTGGTGTGCAGAGTAGTTTTGTGTCATGCTGCCGGCTTCCATTCTCTGTTCGTCACATTTTACGCCGCTTGCTGTACATTGTATCTTTGTTTGGTCTCTGGGAGCTCTGCGCCTGAGGCTGGCTGCCAAGTAGGTATGATCACAATCGTGATGAGTCTGTTCGAGTGGCTCTTGGCACTGTATTTCCACGAGTTGAGGGAGCAGCTGGGCGCTATGCAGACTTTGCTCGACAAAGCGACTGATGGCTACTGCACGGTGAAGAGGCAGGTGGGGACCATCTCACACGTCAGCGACAGTCTGCAGCTTCTCTTTGGCGCAGACCTGCGGGGAACGCAGATACTGGACGCCGTCGGCCCGGAGGACCGCTGGAAGGTCGCGCGCCTGTGCGACGCGAGCCAGTGGGACGTGGTAGAGCCAGTGCTGGCCACCTTCACCCAGGCTCTCGGCGAGGGGCGGCAGCCGCTGGAGTTCGACGCGCGCCTGGTGCCCTATCGGGCCACTGGGGCGGACGTACACATTGGCGTCCAGAGAGTCGGCGAGGTAAGGATGGCCAAGAGGGGCCTCGCCGAGGAGGTCGCGGGCCCCAGGGGTCCTGGCCCCTCGGACGCCAGACCGCTCGACCGCGGGTGCTCGAGCCGGGAGAGCCGAGAAGTGGATCGCCTGGTTTCTCCCTTGCCAGCTTTCCAAGAAGATGCGCGCGCACAGCCGGCAGCTGTGGGCGAGGGCGGGCGCGCGCCGATGCAGAACGGCGCGACCAGCAGTGGCGCATCCCAGAGTTCGACAGAGACGGTAGACGAGATACACATTTCGTTCGACTCTGGCCACCCGAACTTCCTCATCAGCGACGACGGCTGCAGTCGTCACTTGTTGCCTCGTCAGGGGCAGCTGGTACGCTGGTTCCCACGTGTTGCACGAGACCGGGTCGAGAAGTGGATCATTAACGCAGTGAACAGCAGTGTCGAGCTTGGGGTTTGTTCAGAGTATCTTGAACATGTTGAGCTTGTCATCCCCCCAGCACCAGCAGTCAAAGTCGTAGCAAAGCGAGCTTTCATCCTAGTCGAGGAGCTTGAGGAGAGCGACACAGGTGCAATTTCGTTACCAGCCACGCTGTGCTTGAAGGATGTGGTGATTTCGCGGAAGCATTATTACACTACCCGTGCCAAGGCTCATTACAGTCAGGATCTATCCGCCATCGCTGAGGATCTGCATCCCGAATTCGATGGCTCATCGATGAACAGCAGTGAGGGTGTAAGCCCATCTGACAGCGCGTCAGTTGTCATGTCGAAATTCCATCAGATGGCTCTCCAAGGGACACCCAGTTCTTCTTGACGCTCCGCATCTCCCCTCCAGGGTCCATCAGCGACCTCCAGCCTCGATCATCCGACTTTCCACCTCCACCTCCACCTATCGACCTCCAGCGTCCACAAGCTCAACACTCCGACCTCCAGCCTCCAGCATCCGACTTTCCACCTCCACCTCCACCAATCGACCTCCAGCGTCCACCATCTCAGCACTCCGACCTCCAGCCACCAGCATCCCGACTTTTCCACTTCCACCTCCACCTATCGACCTCCAGCGACCACCATTTCAGCACTCCGACCTCCAACCTTCAGCATCCGACTTTCCATCTCCACCTCCACCTGTCGACCTCCAGCATCCGACTTTCCACTTCCACGCCCATCTATCCGACCTATCACTCCCACCTCCACCCATTGGACTCCAGAATACACCAGACGCCCCAAAATTCTACGTTTCATACCATTTTCATCCAGATCGACCGATAGTCCCAGGCCGACTACTGAGGGCTCTGGACCCCCGCGCCGCCCTCCAGGGGCGGTCCCGCTGGACCGGCATCGCGCGCTCGCTCGCTCGCACCAGTCCGTCCAAAAGCAATCACCAGGCGAGTTGCCATGAGTTGCCCCGATCAGGGACGTGGGATGTGTGGCGGCATGCAGTCACGCGCGGGGAGCCCCTTGGAGGTCTCTTGGGGCTATCATGGGCCTCGTGGGCCTATTTTGGACGCCTGCGGGGCTCTCTTGGGACGCCTTGGGCTCTCCCGGGGCCGTCTTGGGGGCCTACCCTTTTCCCGGAGGGTCAGAAGGAGGTTCTAATGATTACCCCCTTCAACCACCGACGTCTAAGGTGCAAAGGGGAACTTACCTACAGATGGTCTCCTCGCGCGCGCGAACTGATAACATACACAAGCACTCTGAACCTCTTACTGGTGATTCTAGGTAAGAGGTGAGCATGCGTGCATGAAGGTATGCGCATGTAGACATGTATTTATATACATGTATATATATATATATATGTATATATATAGAGTCCCCAATCAGTGCTTGCACTGAAGGGGTCCTAGGGAAGTTGGTAGATTTGGCGAACATTTCCCGCCGATTTCGGTAGCAGGCTGGGTTTCTGGGCTGGTTCCGGGTTCCCGCGTTCCCAGTTACTGGTTCCGTGGGTTTTGGGTTCCCGGGCTCCCGGGTTCCCGGTCGATCTCTTCAGCGAGAACCATCCACATATTTCCCCACATCCTGAGTGGGGTTCTTGTTTTCCCAGAACACCCTCTCCTTCCCACCCACCTCCCGCTCCATCTTCCATACAGCACAATGTTATTCCTACCACACACACCATACCATACCATAGTTCCTACCACATACCATACCATACCATACCATACCATACCACACCATACGTACCATACCGTACCGTACCACACATACCATACCATACCATACCATACCATACCACACCATACGTACCATACCGTACCGTACCATACCATACCATGGCGTACCATAGCATACCATACCATATCACACCAATGCCACACCGTACCATACCATACCATACCTCCAGTACCATACCATACCATATCATTCCATACCGTACCATACCATACTATTTACATGGTTTCGTGCCCCTCCCACCCCTCCAGGGAGGCCCCGCCTGAGCGAGGAGGGTATCGGAATACCATACTATTTACATGGTTTCGTGCCCCTCCCACCCCTCCAGGGAGGCCCCGCCTGAGCGAGGAGGGTATCGGAATACCATACTATTTACATGGTTTCGTGCCCCTCCCACCCCTCCAGGGAGGCCCCGCCTGAGCGAGGAGGGTATCGGAATACCATACTATTTACATGGTTTCGTGCCCCTCCCACCCCTCCAGGGAGGCCCCGCCTGAGCGAGGAGGGTATCGGAATACCATACTATTTACATGGTTTCGTGCCCCTCCCACCCCTCCAGGGAGGCCCCGCCTGAGCGAGGAGGGTATCGGAATACCATACTATTTACATGGTTTCGTGCCCCTCCCACCCCTCCAGGGAGGCCCCGCCTGAGCGAGGAGGGTATCGGAATACCATACTATTTACATGGTTTCGTGCCCCTCCCACCCCTCCAGGGAGGCCCCGCCTGAGCGAGGAGGGTATCGGAATACCATACTATTTACATGGTTTCGTGCCCCTCCCACCCCTCCAGGGAGGCCCCGCCTGAGCGAGGAGGGTATCGGAATACCATACTATTTACATGGTTTCGTGCCCCTCCCACCCCTCCAGGGAGGCCCCGCCTGAGCGAGGAGGGTATCGGAATACCATACTATTTACATGGTTTCGTGCCCCTCCCACCCCTCCAGGGAGGCCCCGCCTGAGCGAGGAGGGTATCGGAATACCATACTATTTACATGGTTTCGTGCCCCTCCCACCCCTCCAGGGAGGCCCCGCCTGAGCGAGGAGGGTATCGGAATACCATACTATTTACATGGTTTCGTGCCCCTCCCACCCCTCCAGGGAGGCCCCGCCTGAGCGAGGAGGGTATCGGAATACCATACTATTTACATGGTTTCGTGCCCCTCCCACCCCTCCAGGGAGGCCCCGCCTGAGCGAGGAGGGTATCGGAATACCATACTATTTACATGGTTTCGTGCCCCTCCCACCCCTCCAGGGAGGCCCCGCCTGAGCGAGGAGGGTATCGGAATACCATACTATTTACATGGTTTCGTGCCCCTCCCACCCCTCCAGGGAGGCCCCGCCTGAGCGAGGAGGGCATCAAGAAAATGAGTCCCACAAAACCGTTAATCTCTTTATGTGGGGAACTCCGTTAGCATAATGTTTTTTCTTTGGTGTAATCTATAGTAATATGTATATTTATATACATCATACATATGTACACATCGAGGGGTAGCGACATGAGAAGGAGGAGAAACACAGGGGAGAAGATGAAGAGGATGAGTAGGAGGACGAGAAGCAGGAGGAGGAAGAGGAGGAGTGAGGAGTGAGAAATGAGGGGCACCATCCTCCCACCACAATCACCAACCACCACCTGGCGCAATCAGGGTGGTGTTTGTGTAGGACTCCTGATGATACTGGTGCATGTGGTGGTGGTAACAGTATT